AAGGGCGTGGGGATATTGACACCTCCTGGAATTTCTTTTAAAGCCCGCTGTTTTAAGTTGGTGGGACGTTCCTATTCCCATATCCTGTTTAGACAGCCACGCAAGTCGTCCTTACCTCTTAAAATATTTCCTCGTCATAGATTCTGAGTTTTAAAAAAAGGAAATAAACAGCTTTATATTCAAACGATGAAGGGGGAGGTGGCGCGACCCAGTTCCCGGCCCATGATGCACACTGTCGTCGCTTCGTACGACCAGTGTGTATTAGGCCACGTGAACCCGACTCGGTCAGTAAACAGCCCCTCCTCCAAATAATTTGACTAGAAAATGTTTAGTCATTGTTAGACTCACATAATCTCGGATAATGAGATCTTTTGTGAATCCATGAGTTCAGAATAATACAATCAGACTCTGCAATCATCAAGAAAGTATCAGGCCGCATCTTCCGCACACGGTGATGATACCGGTGATCTCTGCAATGCCCTCCCCCAAGACGTTTTTTTCGCCTAAACCACAAACCTTGCCCCCACAAGAGCGACGGTCTTTCTCCTAAAAATCCAAAGGAGTTTTTCACTGTCTGTTCATTTAAAAAAAAACTACGTACCACCTCATGGCTCAAGAAAATTGGCCTCGCCAACAAACTGAGATACTCTTTTTCTGCTACAACAACACACATGTACAATTAAGGAACTCAAAGGCAATCTACCTATATATCCCTTAAATAAACTGATACTGATACCTACCGTTAATGTTATCGGGTTTTCATCTTCTTTGGTTATCAGTTTGAACATTTGACGAGTTTGTAAATAAAAAAAACTGAAGTATAATTATGCGGACTACAAAATGTATATCAACGTCAATTTCGACGCGTTCCACAGTGTGCACCACGCCAGGATATTTGCAGGAATGGCGGCTTGTGTGTGTGAGTTAGATTACAGCAACAGAATTGCGATGCATCTACCGCAATCTGTCCTCCTTCTCCCCGACCTTGGGCTGATGTCATGATCAAGTCACGCTACTTTTAAGTCGCGTACCCTACGGAAAAAACGTATACTGTAAAAAGTGGTTACTTTAGTAGTACGCATTTTTCTCATTTATCTTTGCCACTCTTATGAATTCAAATATATTTTGTAGAAAGCATGCCAAAAGTATTATCGTACTCCTTCACTGGGAAATCATGCCTCCTTCAAATTTTGTACTTGGAGGAAGAAAAGCTTTTGGTTTTAGAAAAGTATATAAGTTGCCGAATAAGCATGAACCCTGTCGACGGTTACAAGGGAATTCAAAGTACCCTAACTACATGCTGTATGCGTGCTGTACATATTTCCCTATGGTATGGGGAAGCGGCGAGATAGTTTTCAAAAAAATGATGCAATGGGTGTGAATCATGAGATATGTATACTTTTAAAAGCAAACTTAATAAATTGAAGGAGACGGTGTATTACGAATGAGCACTTCACGGGCGTAAACAATCTCACAATTAGAAGCTTTTTAAAACCAGGTGAAAAAATTTTAAGGTACACAATTTGAAAAGGGTGCGATTTATTAACAAACGAGCATAAAAAATGATTACCTTGCGGATGCCTTCTATAAATGTATTTGAATGTATGGGGGCATTTTACTTAAATAATAAAATGATCCTACTTAAGAAACCGATTTTTTGGCGGGTACAATTTTTGCAAGCGGTCAGAAGAAAGCTCCTCCAAAGCCAACGTCCTGGTGTAATTGAAATAGCTTGGTGTTAAGCTGTACGAAAATTAGTACTACAGTACGGCTCAGAATTTGTGCAACATGCCGACATATGCGAAAGATTGATACTCTCTCGCTTATCAGGATTGAGTTAGATTGTAATACTGATTATTTTATAGCCTATTCTCAAGTCATCTCAGTAATGACAGGATGCCGGCTCTCTAACGAGCTTCTTTTTGACCGCTACCAAGAATTAAAAAATGGCTGCATAAGTAGTATGCATTTTTATCCTTTATTTCGACTGCCTTTATTAAATTAAACTATCTTTTATGGAAAAACTACAAAAAATCTTCTTTCTTATACTCGTTTGGTAGCAAATTACGCCTTCCTTAAATTTTATACTTAAAGAAGGGTGCCTTTCGGTCTCAAAAAGGTTTCTAATCATTAGATTTTTTACGATTGTGAGGTGTTCATTCATAATACATCGTGCCCATTAATTCATTAATACTACCTCTAATGTAAAGAGTATAATCCACATCTATTGCAACAGTGCATGACAACTATGTGACTTTTTCCTCAAACCGTAGACAAAAACGTACTTTCCCTTAAACACAACACGCGGTTTGTAAACCTCGAATTCAGGTGTAGCAATCAGTAGGTTTCCAAATTATTCTACAATTAAGAAATCTTTTGAAAACCGAAAGCCACCCTTTTTAAGTAAACAATTTGAAGAATGCGTAATTTGCTACCAAACGAGTATAAGAAATAATTATTTCGTTGATGCTTTCCATAAAATATATTTGAATTTATAAAGGCTGTCAAAATGAATTACAAAAATGTATACAACTTACGTAGCCATTTTTTACAGTACATACTTTTTGTTAGCGGTCAGAAAGAGGCTCATTGAAAAGCCGGTATCATATCGTGACTGAAATGACTTGAGAATAGGCCACTCAAAAATCAGTATTACAACCTTACCTAATGCCAATCAGCAAGTCAATATCAATCTTTCGCAAATGTCTGCATGTTGCACAAATTCTGAGCCGTACTGTACAACCCTGCCTAAATAATTTGTTCGAATCAAAAGCACATTTCGAATGTTCCGTTGACATTTATAATGTAGGTTTTACACTTTCTCCTAGGTTGTCACGTGGCACTTACCTGGCAAAGGGTTTCCCAACCACACAGTGCCATCGAGGACCATAGAGCACGTCAAACGTCTTCTTTAACTTCTCTGCCAGCTGAGCTAGACTAATCTTCTGCTCCAACAAGTCCACGGCTGTTTGCGTGGCGTTTTTAACGACTTCTTCGTCCATGTCAAAGTGCTTTACAATTGCAGTCGTTGGGACAGCGGATTTCGGCTCCTGCTTAGGAGGGGGAAGAGGACAAGGAGCTGGGGCTGGGGCTGGCGTTGGAGCAGTATGAGACAGCGATGTCGAAAAGGATGCCGTCGTCGAAGACGAGGATGATGAAGAGGAAGAGGAGGAGGGCATTGCTGAAGCTCTAACAACAGCGCACTGCAAAGGAATGCTTTGAAGGCGTAGTCATTGTCTCACTGCCGACCTTGTAGTCGCATGAGGTCACTTGCATTTCGTGCACTTTAAACAATCCTTACCACGTCCCTTCTAGTCCTCACTTGGGCTTGATTCCGAGGTCACTTTCACCCCTGTGAACTCGGTGCGGGCGAAGCACTTTCTTCTCTGTTCGCATAGTTGTGTACCTACTAAATTCAAGCTGAAGTTTTCAGCCCTTAGCCTTCTAATTAATTCCACTGAACACTGGTCTAAAGCTATTGTTAAAAAATATCGTGAAATTTGTCCGTCTGTTTAATCGATCTTGGTGGACGGTTAACGCTCATTAACGAGTCTCAATATCTCCCGACATAAAGCGGTAAGACAAGGAGCTCATGGCTCAATGGTTGGGGCATCAGACTCTGATTAAAAAGGTCGCGAGTTTGAACCTCGAGTGATGCAGCACTTGGGTCTAGATATGACTAGCTGATGATGGCTAATATGCCAGAAATGGCCATTCCAGTCTTCTTTGCCTTTGCCGTTAATACTATCTGAGGTATTCCTTGTCGTTTTATCTTGCGTTTTTTTACTAGGTTCTGCTGCTAGGTAAATGAAACCAACAACACACCGAAAAACGTTGACAAATGTTTCTCCTGAGAATCTGAAACCCCAGCCTAATAGAGCTCTTGCTCTCATGATCGTGTATTCTTCCTCACAACGAAGCCATTAGGCGGACGCGTTATCATGAACGCTGGAACCCAAAAGAAAAGCCGTACTATGAGTCATTGAAGCCCTCTTAAACGGTCAATCAACCTGAGTCTACTGCTGAGTGAAAGAATGTCAGCATATGAGGGAATGTATGATAAGGTGCTTTTGCAATATGATTATGTCAGTCTCCAGGTTGAACAACG